GGCCCCCTGCCCCTGCCTGGCCGGCAGCGATCCCAAACCCGCAGCCCAACAGATGGTCCTGCGTTCCCGTAGGCCGTGGCAGGGCCAAACCCGCCCACAGGAGCGGGGGCTCCCCAGGGACACAGAAACCTTTGGAAAGCCGCGTTTCCGTACAGCGGGCAGCAAATCAACAACAGCCACCACCACCACCGCTCCACCTTTCAGAAAGTAAATTGCATTAACACTGGGGTGTTTTGAGAACTGAACCCTGATATTTTTTTAAACCTCTGAGGCTGGGAGCTACATCTTGCCTCTGCGGTCCAAAGGCACTGGTACAGCAGCCACCCCCTTATCCTGCCCACAACACAAAATAAAAATAACCCTGAACCAAAGCTATATTTTTAAGTTTTTAACTTTTGCTTTTTTAGACAGGAATAGGAATTTGTTTACTCTTTTTGAGGACCAGTCAGGAAAGATCAAGGGAGAAAGGACTCTCTTGCTCCTTCCCACCCCCGCTTGCTGTGCTTCCCCAGCACTCAGGGCTCCATCTCCTCCGCAGGAGACCTCCGGCCCGGAGCCGTCTGCCCGCTCACCTGCAGCGCGTTCCTTGTGTCAGTACCCAAACGGTAAGGCTTTCCTGCAGGAACCCAGACTGACCAGGTTCACACCGATCAACTCTATTCACCGCCTGCAGTTTTTGCTCTCTCCAGAGGTGCCTGGGCTGCATTAGGCCTCAGCCACAGGCACTGGTGCAGGTGAAGAATAAGGCTGGGCAGGGGCTGGAAGACACTAAAAAACATGCACAAAGATCAAAATTTGGCATCAAAAACATAACCCATCACCTTTACAGCAGCTTCACCACGCAGCTGCAACGTGACAGGAAAGGCGAGAGAGGGGGAACTGCTGAACAAACTTTCGGTGCTTTACATTTTGCCACACATCCACTGAGGCTGGCTTTTTTCCTACACCTGTGCAGAGCTGGACAAAGCTGACGTCCGATGTGTCCCCGCACACAGCACGCACAGGCCGTCCGCACTCACGTAAGGGCACGAGTAAAGGCACTTGACAGGCCACATACTAGACAGCTTGGGAAGCACCAAGGACGGGCCCCTCAAGGACGGTCCAAGGCAGCAAGTCCCGTTTTAGAGGAGCCATGAACTTACACCGCATTCCCCAAGTTTCACCTGCTCCCGGCCTGCTCTCCTCTCCAGGCTCTAGCACACTGACATCGTACCCGAGACCCCAAGCAAAAGCCAGCACGTTTCACCAAATGCAAAGAAACAAACCACGACAACAGTTTTATTTTGGCGTTACCTACATTTTGGCCCTAAACTTCTTTACACTGATCTGCTAATCCTATATAATATTGACTTCCCAAAAAGGGAGATTATGGTAATCAGGATTTCTGAAGGATTTACACATGATCCTATATTTGCTTTTGAACTTCGTCAGAGTGACAAAGAGAGGATGTCAGCAACGAGCTGCTACTGCGTTTTCTCTGGATTACAAGTCAGGCTCCAGCGCTGTCCAAATCTATAGCCACTGAAGTGTTTCTCTAGCAGACAAACCAGTGTTTAAGATCATCTTTCCCTCACAGATGAAAGGGTAACTGCAACCATCTCCTGGGAGTTACTGGAAAACACAAACCTTAGTACCTTCACCCAGTAATACCTCTGTCACACCTGTGATTTAAAGTTTTCAACTGCCCACAGCAAATGCATGACCTAAGAAAAAAAATCAGAACATCTGAAAAAAAGATGTCCATGTCTCCAAGAAGAAAACAACACTGGTAAATGCAAGAAGTACTGAACATTGACTGGAGGGAAGACCTACAAAACACACAGAAGAAAAATATCACAAAGATATCCAAAAACAGTAAAAAAAAAAAAAACCCACATCTTAGAAGGAAAAGTGGAAAAATGTCATTTTATTTTAAATCTGCTATCAACTTTATGCAATAAACATACTATATATTTTTCAGCATACAGAATGCTGGGTTACACTCTCAGTTTAAAATCCTGGTTTAAGGTAAAAAAAGAATCGCCATATACAACAGACAGAAAGATTTCAGCTCAGTGACTTAAAACCAGAACAAGGAATGTCACAAACTCGCAGTCTCCCTTCAGTTTTCACGTGGAAATAGCCAGGAACACGATGCTGTATCCTTCCCCCTTAGTGAAACCCAGCAGTAGCCAACCCTTCCCTGCTCTGGGGCTGCCCAGAGTAGCACGATCCCTTCCCCAAAAGGCTCTCAGAAGCGGACTGTTAGTTCAAGATCTCAGAGTGCCCGGGGAAAAATAACCAATTGCTTTTACAGAAGAGCTATTCTAGGTTGTTTCTAGGCTCCTCACAGCCCCAAGCCCTGAGGTTCGTGTTTCTGGGCCCAGCCTCACACGACTTCACCTGTTCGCTACTAGGAAAAAAGTCAGTTCTGAATAACTCTGCCTCCACTACCTAGCAAGCAAGCTTCATTTTCTGCAGCACTATGGATTCTGAAATGTAAAGAAAATGTAAAATATTAAGCTGCTTGACAAATAGCAGGAAAACATTAAATTTGATACGAGTTCACAACTCGTCTCTTTTTAATTGCTCAGCATAGGGAGCTCAGCACCTTGAGGAACCCCTTCAGAAAGGAAAGTCATTTCCACCTGCTATTTTTCACCCATCCTGTGACGCCACCACAGAAACAGAGCTGTTGACAGGTCTTGTGAAAACTACAGAAAGGTCCACATGTTCAAATTTTGAATTTGCCATTGCTAAGTTTACACCCATCAGCCTTATTTCAGATTATTCTATAAACCCAGCTGCTTATTCCCCTTGCACTATTGTTACTTTTGACCCATCTAAAGGTGCATTCGCTGGCCCCACTTTCTGCTGCCATCCCAAAGTAAATACCCAAGAAGAAAGGATTAAAGGAGATATAGAAATACTTGACAAGAGAATTGCAGGCTCTATGTACGCTGCTTTTCTGTATCATTACTGTTTCAGTTAATTTTGAGATGGTTAAATCAAGCAGAGAGAGACTTTTGGTCACACGAGTGCACAGGTTAATTTCCATTTTGTAGAAGTGAGTTTATCATCTTTGAATAGGCGAGGAGATAACCGAAGGAAAACAAAGAGGAGAATTTGAGAAATTGAAGTGACTATTTCTACACAGCTTTTTTTGTGGCCCAGAGATGAACAGATTTGATACTCGCTAGGCAGTTCTAGCACAGGAGCTGCAGACTGTAGCTGCTCTATATCTTCTCTTTCACCCTCAGATGAGAAGAATCAGTCACAGTCAGAATCCATCCAGCGTTGGTTTATGTTTATACACACTCAAGTGCACTAATGTATTCTGACACAAAATAATATTTTGTGGACTCACCTTTTTCCGTTACATTCATTTATTAATTGCGTCCTCTGTATTCAGAGGAAAATCGCATTACAATACACTTGTAACCAATGTAGCAGAGGGGAAGAAAAAAAAAAAAAACTGAAGCGTTGAATGAACATGTCCACTAGATATGTGCAACATCAGGATCTCAATATCCCTTGAGCCAGGCCAAGACAAAACTAAAAAAAACCCAAATTGTAAGAAAATGGGTGATATACTCATTTGTGGAGCAGTGACTTAATTAAGCCATTGTAAGAAGACAGGTTGGGACTTTTTCTTTCTTTCTTTTTTTTTTTTAACTCTCTCATGTGCACTATAGCACTATAGATGAATTACAGGAAGTACAGAACTGACCAGCTTGCAGCGTTCCAAGACATAACATCAGTGAACGTCAGCAGAAACACTTGATCAAGTTACCAAGGGACACAAAAGCTGGTTAGTCAAAAACCAGCTGCTTCCTGAAAATAGCTACCTGCGTACTGGTCTGGCAAAGCTATCCTGAATCACCACTCAGCAAGTCTCTAGTGCACACGCCTGGCAATGCTGGAATGACTTGACCTCTTGTTTTTAATTTTCTCCAACATTATGCAATCTTTTCGCTACTGCGGTAATGAGGGCAGCTCCCTTCCCGCTCCCATCTTCAGAGAGCATGAAATTCACATCACACTGCGGTGCCAGTTCCTTCACGGTTTCACGCAGGACCCTAGAAAAACTGAAAGGAAAAGGAGAGAGGGAAAGAATGTTTTAGGACCCTCTTCCAGTTTGTGATCATTTGTATTTATCTTTTAGCAGGGAACCAAAACCTCAGCCAACATCCTCCTCTGTTTCTCCATCCCATTCCTTTCTGTCTATTTTTCTTCCCATACGTGAAAGAGAAACACTTCTGTACTCTATCAGATTTTAGTATATT